ACAACTATCCACTGGGGCTTTGGGGGGGAAAAATAAAATAAATAAAATCTTTAAAAAAAATAAAAAATAAAATAAAATAAAATAAAATAGTGTAATTAGTATGTTGAAGAAATTACATGAACGACTGGAGAATTTTAGCAAAAAACGGACACACACAAAAAATCAAATGAAAGTTCTATAAGTAAAAAATGGAAAATAAGTACAAAACTAAGAACTCAATAGATAAGTTTAACAGCAGATTAGATACAACTGAAAAGAGGACAGAAAGATAGATCAGAAAATATCCAAATTAAAGCTGGAGGGGAAAAGAAAAATGATTGGAAAATATAGAAAGTAGCCTAAGAGACATTTGGCACACAGTGAAAAGATCTAACATATGCGTATTCAGAGCTACACAAGCAGGCAAGAAAGTGGAGCAGAAGGAACATCTGAAGAGATGTTCTAAGAATTTTCTAACACTAACAAAAAAAGCACCTAAAGATTTAAGAAGCAATAGGAACCCAGAGCAGGATAGAGACACACAAACAAACACACACACATATCATAGTAAACTGCTGAGAACTGAAGGCAGAGAAAAAAATCTTAAAAGCAGGCAGAGAAAAAAGAAACTTGAACTTTAAAGGAACAACAAGAAAAAATAGCTAACTTCTCAATAGAGACAACAGAAACCAAAAGACGACATCTTCAAAATGCTGACAGAAACCAGCTACCAACCTAGAATGCTCTACCGAAAGAAAGTATCTTTTAAAAATGAAGTGGGGGAAAAACCTCATAAACAAAAAATGAAAGTGAAATAAAAACAAGGCAGAACCAAAAAACTAGATAACAAAACATGGAAGATGCATGAGGTAGTGATTGGAATTCAAGTGTGCGAAGGTTCTCATAATATTAAGTCAAGTATATATGTTAAACATTTTAACAATAGCTCCTGAAAGAACAGAAGTAGAATGTAATACTCCCAAACAAGTGGAAGGAATAAAAAAGGAAGAAAGAAATTATATCAATCCAACAAATGAAAGGAGAAAAAGAGGCAAAGAAAAATCACAGTAAATAGAATGCACAAAATAACATGGTAGAAAAAAATCACACATACAAAAAACTATGTTGAACAATAAAAATAGCAGGTTTCAAAAAGATATATACAGTATCATTCGTGTAAATTTTCACAATACATAGAACAATACTGTACATTGTTTATATACGTATTCATGCAGTGAAAGTATAAAAACATGCATGGGAATGAGGGGCTGGCCCAGTGGCCTAGTGGTTAAGTTTGCTCACTCCACGTCGGTGGCCCGGGGTTCATGAGTTCGGATGGTGGGCACAGACCTACACACTGCTCATCAAGCCACGCTGTGGCGGCATCCCATATACAAAGTAGAGGAAGACTGGCACAGATGTTAGCTCAGGGACAATCTTCCTCAACCAAAAAGAGGAAGACTGGCAATGGATGGTGGCTCAGGGCCAATCTTCCTCACCCCCCCCAAACAAAAAAATGCATGGGAATGATACATACGTAGGATGGTGGTTATCTCTAGGAAGGCAAAGAAGCGGGATATGGGGCTTTAGCTGTATCTATAATGTTTTATCCCTCTCCCCTCCCCCTATTAGGCATTCTGAAGTAAATATGGCAAAATGTAAACATCTATTAACTTAAATGGTACTTATATATTTTTATATGTTTGAAATATTTCATAATTTAAAAAAATTGTTAAGACATAAAACAAAGGTAAAAGGAAATGGGTTTTAGAGTACAGTTTTTGTGTTCTCCCTGAAGCCTAGCCATAGCAGCCACAGTTCATGAATGTCAGCAAGAATCCAAGGACTGGTACTTAAGATTATTCCAGGTCTCTCATTGATTTTTCATCTCTTTAGCAGCCCTGACTTTGCCCTTGGTTGAATCAAGAAAAAGTTGCAAATCTCCAAAAGAAACTTATTCAAAATAACTAAGGAGGGCCGGCCCCGTGGCTTAGCGGTTAAGTGCGTGCCCTCCGCTACTGGCAGCCCGGGTTCGGATCCC